TCTTGTTGCAGCACTTTTTCTCCTACACTCATTTTGTTCAGTTAATTCATCGTGTAGACTGTTTTCCGCTCTCGTTTCCTTTTCCCGTGATGCTTTCAATATTTTTGTTACCTCAAAGAAACGCTGCCGAAGTCGTTCTTGATCTCTGCGAACTTCCTCCACACGTAAGCAATCAAGCTTTTTCTTCTCTTCATTTAGCTGTAAAACTTCCTTTTGCATAGCCAATGCAATTTCGTATTCTTGAACGCGCTTAGCATAGAGAGACTCAAATGACTCTGTGGTATCATCTTCATTAATAGCTTTTCTAAGAGATAGTTGTCAATATTAAAACAAATTATTAACTAATTAAACAGTGATGAAACTTACTTAAAATGTTCTTCATTCTCCTTTGATACAATATATTCTCCAATGGAATTGTATCTTGTTATGGGTCTGCCCAAGTGACCGGTAACACCAAGTTTAGTAGTTGGATGACAACGATACATTTTGTTATGTTATTAACTTTCACAAATTGCTTTTATTGATAAGAACACTTAACTTCCTAAAATGCAACTAGCTTTCTAAGTATTGATATATTTTTTTTCAGTTTAGTTTTAATTCACAACTGGGCTTGTCATTTAATTCTGTAAATGCTTTGTTTTTTGAATTTTTGTTTAAAATAATTTCATTTTAAGTTACAAATGACATATACATACTGCGAACTTGCTATCTAAAATATCTTAGTTAGCTATAATACCTCTCTTTAAAGTGCATCTTAAGCTTTGTTAAAGATTCCTGATGACATATAATTAAAAGAAGATAGCACAATAAGCAATTAATTGCATGACACAATCAGATAATTGAGATAAAAGTCGGAAATATGTGTACAGCAATTATATGATTTCTTAAAATTTAAAAATATAAATATAAAAGAATAATAAATCAACTACTTTTGTACCATAAATCTAATTTAATAAACCTAAGTGGTCTATTATTAGCTAACCTAACCAATTGAAATAAGCTACAATTTAGCTTCACTCGTATATGCAACTTATAATTCAAATATTTACTATTTACTCACAACATATTTATTATCTAAAGTAAAATATTTTGACATAATCCAAATTCTTCCAATGGTTTTAAATTGACGATTGAATTGAATTTTAAATTGAATGCTGTACTTAACCAATTCTTTTCATTTTTCGAGTTGATCTGCCTGAATTCAAAAATATGTGAACATAAAGTTTTATCCCATTCAAAATTAATTAATACGAGTATTCAAAATTAATATCAGAACACTGCTATATGGATTCACCATGATAGGTATATCGGCCAATAATAAGAATTTATGTCATTTGTGTGTTCTCCAGTATCTACTTTACTGTAGTACAAATACCTTAAGAAACTTCATACTGCTAGAAGCTCTGTTCCAAAAATAGTCTCATAAATCGACTACACTTTCTTAATCTTGCAATGTCACTTATTGCCGTTTTTCATTTTATATAGGAATATTGGAATAGAAACATCCCATGTAACTTACCAAAGTCAAAGCTATTTACGTTCTTTTAAACGAACATGCTCTTTAACCGAACTATGTTATTAGTCATCGTTAAATATGATACCTCGCAGATTTATTTACTTTATAAAACCATTTAATAGATGTATTTCATTACTTCCTTTTTATGAATAACTAATATAGGCAGGTACTTACAACTAATTTAAAAATTAAACTTTTTGCTCTTATTAATAATATTTAAATGAAATACTTTATGAATTTATGAAATAGGAACTCAGTAAGCCAAACTCCTATCTTTGCCCAAAAAGAGAAATACTGCCGAACTACGCCAATCCATTAACAATACAGCAAAGCAAAGAACATATTAGCCACAAAGAGGCAAGTGTGCATATTACAATGAACTTCGACTTATATTATACAGTAGATTAAACATTAAAATCTTTTATTAAATACTTTAGCCCTTAAAAAGGAGTATAAATAATAATAATATATTATAAGTTAAAATCTTTCATTGAATGTGCAAAAAAATCAATTCAATATAAAAAAATATTACCACAAAAAATATGTACTTTTTTAAAAAATATTGCAATTTATTCTTAGTAATAAAATCTTCAAAAAATATAACAATAAAAAAACAAACATTTTTAATAAATTTATTACAATCTCAATCAGAAGCATTTCAAGTTTTCTAAATTTATCGCAACGCCTCTGAGAACCTCGAACTCCCCTTTTATAAACATGCTTATTTTATGTACCTCATGATATCGTAGAGTTGGTTCGATCACTATATTAAATAAACCGATATAATATTGTGTATATTAAAAAACTAATAAAAACTTACTCCTCCTCTTACACAAAAGTAAGTATAAGTTGTACAACCCATCATACATGGCATTCCGATCGACCATATGGCGAGAGTGCGTCATTTTTATTTTTCGAAACTGTTCCTCGGCCATTAAAGCTTCATTCCTTGCTGTCATATATGCCCGAACAAAGAAGTCTAATTCATTTTTGTTTTGCATCAATATACTAGCCTGACGTCGAACCAATTCCACCAATTCATTTCGACTTTCATCCAATTTGTGCATTAATTCCATTTTATGTTTTTCTATATCACTACACGACATTACTAAAAAAATACCATTTATAGGTGACTATAATAAATTCATACAATATACAATGACTTACAAAGAGCATCAGTACAATTTATAAAATTATCAACATTCTCATAATGTGGATTCTCTCGTAAAAATTTCTTTAGTAGTTCTTCATAGCACCCATACTCTCGCACAGTGTTCTTCATCTGTATTGAAAACTCTTTCAAAACTTGAATGTTTTTTCTTGTTGCAGCACTTTTTCTCCTACACTCATTTTGTTCAGTTAATTCATCGTGTAGACTGTTTTCCGCTCTCGTTTCCTTTTCCCGTGATGCTTTCAATATTTTTGTTACCTCAAAGAAACGCTGCCGAAGTCGTTCTTGATCTCTGCGAACTTCCTCCACACGTAAGCAATCAAGCTTTTTCTTCTCTTCATTTAGCTGTAAAACTTCCTTTTGCATAGCCAATGCAATTTCGTATTCTTGAACGCGCTTAGCATAGAGAGACTCAAATGACTCTGTGGTATCATCTTCATTAATAGCTTTTCTAAGAGATAGTTGTCAATATTAAAACAAATTATTAACTAATTAAACAGTGATGAAACTTACTTAAAATGTTCTTCATTCTCCTTTGATACAATATATTCTCCAATGGAATTGTATCTTGTTATGGGTCTGCCCAAGTGACCGGTAACACCAAGTTTAGTAGTTGGATGACAACGATACATTTTGTTATGTTATTAACTTTCACAAATTGCTTTTATTGATAATCTTAAGTGTTACGATAAGAACACTTAACTTCCTAAAATGCAACTAGCTTTCTAAGTATTGATATATTTTTTTTCAGTTTAGTTTTAATTCACAACTGGGCTTGTCATTTAATTCTGTAAATGCTTTGTTTTTTGAATTTTTGTTTAAAATAATTTCATTTTAAGTTACAAATGACATATACATACTGCGAACTTGCTATCTAAAATATCTTAGTTAGCTATAATACCTCTCTTTAAAGTGCATCTTAAGCTTTGTTAAAGATTCCTGATGACATATAATTAAAAGAAGATAGCACAATAAGCAATTAATTGCATGACACAATCAGATAATTGAGATAAAAGTCGGAAATATGTGTACAGCAATTATATGATTTCTTAAAATTTAAAAATATAAATATAAAAGAATAATAAATCAACTACTTTTGTACCATAAATCTAATTTAATAAACCTAAGTGGTCTATTATTAGCTAACCTAACCAATTGAAATAAGCTACAATTTAGCTTCACTCGTATATGCAACTTATAATTCAAATATTTACTATTTACTCACAACATATTTATTATCTAAAGTAAAATATTTTGACATAATCCAAATTCTTCCAATGGTTTTAAATTGACGATTGAATTGAATTTTAAATTGAATGCTGTACTTAACCAATTCTTTTCATTTTTCGAGTTGATCTGCCTGAATTCAAAAATATGTGAACATAAAGTTTTATCCCATTCAAAATTAATTAATACGAGTATTCAAAATTAATATCAGAACACTGCTATATGGATTCACCATGATAGGTATATCGGCCAATAATAAGAATTTATGTCATTTGTGTGTTCTCCAGTATCTACTTTACTGTAGTACAAATACCTTAAGAAACTTCATACTGCTAGAAGCTCTGTTCCAAAAATAGTCTCATAAATCGACTACACTTTCTTAATCTTGCAATGTCACTTATTGCCGTTTTTCATTTTATATAGGAATATTGGAATAGAAACATCCCATGTAACTTACCAAAGTCAAAGCTATTTACGTTCTTTTAAACGAACATGCTCTTTAACCGAACTATGTTATTAGTCATCGTTAAATATGATACCTCGCAGATTTATTTACTTTATAAAACCATTTAATAGATGTATTTCATTACTTCCTTTTTATGAATAACTAATATAGGCAGGTACTTACAACTAATTTAAAAATTAAACTTTTTGCTCTTATTAATAATATTTAAATGAAATACTTTATGAATTTATGAAATAGGAACTCAGTAAGCCAAACTCCTATCTTTGCCCAAAAAGAGAAATACTGCCGAACTACGCCAATCCATTAACAATACAGCAAAGCAAAGAACATATTAGCCACAAAGAGGCAAGTGTGCATATTACAATGAACTTCGACTTATATTATACAGTAGATTAAACATTAAAATCTTTTATTAAATACTTTAGCCCTTAAAAAGGAGTATAAATAATAATAATATATTATAAGTTAAAATCTTTCATTGAATGTGCAAAAAAATCAATTCAATATAAAAAAATATTACCACAAAAAATATGTACTTTTTTAAAAAATATTGCAATTTATTCTTAGTAATAAAATCTTCAAAAAATATAACAATAAAAAAACAAACATTTTTAATAAATTTATTACAATCTCAATCAGAAGCATTTCAAGTTTTCTAAATTTATCGCAACGCCTCTGAGAACCTCGAACTCCCCTTTTATAAACATGCTTATTTTATGTACCTCATGATATCGTAGAGTTGGTTCGATCACTATATTAAATAAACCGATATAATATTGTGTATATTAAAAAACTAATAAAAACTTACTCCTCCTCTTACACAAAAGTAAGTATAAGTTGTACAACCCATCATACATGGCATTCCGATCGACCATATGGCGAGAGTGCGTCATTTTTATTTTTCGAAACTGTTCCTCGGCCATTAAAGCTTCATTCCTTGCTGTCATATATGCCCGAACAAAGAAGTCTAATTCATTTTTGTTTTGCATCAATATACTAGCCTGACGTCGAACCAATTCCACCAATTCATTTCGACTTTCATCCAATTTGTGCATTAATTCCATTTTATGTTTTTCTATATCACTACACGACATTACTAAAAAAATACCATTTATAGGTGACTATAATAAATTCATACAATATTCAATGACTTACAAAGAGCATCAGTACAATTTATAAAATTATCAACATTCTCATAATGTGGATTCTCTCGTAAAAATTTCTTTAGTAGTTCTTCATAGCACCCATACTCTCGCACAGTGTTCTTCATCTGTATTGAAAACTCTTTCAAAACTTGAATGTTTTTTCTTGTTGCAGCACTTTTTCTCCTACACTCATTTTGTTCAGTTAATTCATCGTGTAGACTGTTTTCCGCTCTCGTTTCCTTTTCCCGTGATGCTTTCAATATTTTTGTTACCTCAAAGAAACGCTGCCGAAGTCGTTCTTGATCTCTGCGAACTTCCTCCACACGTAAGCAATCAAGCTTTTTCTTCTCTTCATTTAGCTGTAAAACTTCCTTTTGCATAGCCAATGCAATTTCGTATTCTTGAACGCGCTTAGCATAGAGAGACTCAAATGACTCTGTGGTATCATCTTCATTAATAGCTTTTCTAAGAGATAGTTGTCAATATTAAAACAAATTATTAACTAATTAAACAGTGATGAAACTTACTTAAAATGTTCTTCATTCTCCTTTGATACAATATATTCTCCAATGGAATTGTATCTTGTTATGGGTCTGCCCAAGTGACCGGTAACACCAAGTTTAGTAGTTGGATGACAACGATACATTTTGTTATGTTATTAACTTTCACAAATTGCTTTTATTGATAATCTTAAGTGTTACGATAAGAACACTTAACTTCCTAAAATGCAACTAGCTTTCTAAGTATTGATATATTTTTTTTCAGTTTAGTTTTAATTCACAACTGGGCTTGTCATTTAATTCTGTAAATGCTTTGTTTTTTGAATTTTTGTTTAAAATAATTTCATTTTAAGTTACAAATGACATATACATACTGCGAACTTGCTATCTAAAATATCTTAGTTAGCTATAATACCTCTCTTTAAAGTGCATCTTAAGCTTTGTTAAAGATTCCTGATGACATATAATTAAAAGAAGATAGCACAATAAGCAATTAATTGCATGACACAATCAGATAATTGAGATAAAAGTCGGAAATATGTGTACAGCAATTATATGATTTCTTAAAATTTAAAAATATAAATATAAAAGAATAATAAATCAACTACTTTTGTACCATAAATCTAATTTAATAAACCTAAGTGGTCTATTATTAGCTAACCTAACCAATTGAAATAAGCTACAATTTAGCTTCACTCGTATATGCAACTTATAATTCAAATATTTACTATTTACTCACAACATATTTATTATCTAAAGTAAAATATTTTGACATAATCCAAATTCTTCCAATGGTTTTAAATTGACGATTGAATTGAATTTTAAATTGAATGCTGTACTTAACCAATTCTTTCCATTTTTCGAGTTGATCTGCCTGAATTCAAAAATATGTGAACATAAAGTTTTATCCCATTCAAAATTAATTAATACGAGTATTCAAAATTAATATCAGAACACTGCTATATGGATTCACCATGATAGGTATATCGGCCAATAATAAGAATTTATGTCATTTGTGTGTTCTCCAGTATCTACTTTACTGTAGTACAAATACCTTAAGAAACTTCATACTGCTAGAAGCTCTGTTCCAAAAATAGTCTCATAAATCGACTACACTTTCTTAATCTTGCAATGTCACTTATTGCCGTTTTTCATTTTATATAGGAATATTGGAATAGAAACATCCCATGTAACTTACCAAAGTCAAAGCTATTTACGTTCTTTTAAACGAACATGCTCTTTAACCGAACTATGTTATTAGTCATCGTTAAATATGATACCTCGCAGATTTATTTACTTTATAAAACCATTTAATAGATGTATTTCATTACTTCCTTTTTATGAATAACTAATATAGGCAGGTACTTACAACTAATTTAAAAATTAAACTTTTTGCTCTTATTAATAATATTTAAATGAAATACTTTATGAATTTATGAAATAGGAACTCAGTAAGCCAAACTCCTATCTTTGCCCAAAAAGAGAAATACTGCCGAACTACGCCAATCCATTAACAATACAGCAAAGCAAAGAACATATTAGCCACAAAGAGGCAAGTGTGCATATTACAATGAACTTCGACTTATATTATACAGTAGATTAAACATTAAAATCTTTTATTAAATACTTTAGCCCTTAAAAAGGAGTATAAATAATAATAATATATTATAAGTTAAAATCTTTCATTGAATGTGCAAAAAAATCAATTCAATATAAAAAAATATTACCACAAAAAATATGTACTTTTTTAAAAAATATTGCAATTTATTCTTAGTAATAAAATCTTCAAAAAATATAACAATAAAAAACAAACATTTTTAATAAATTTATTACAATCTCAATCAGAAGCATTTCAAGTTTTCTAAATTTATCGCAACGCCTCTGAGGACCTCGAACTCCCCTTTTATAAACATGCTTATTTTATGTACCTCATGATATCGTAGAGTTGGTTCGATCACTATATTAAATAAACCGATATAATATTGTGTATATTAAAAAACTAATAAAAACTTACTCCTCCTCTTACACAAAAGTAAGTATAAGTTGTACAACCCATCATACATGGCATTCCGATCGACCATATGGCGAGAGTGCGTCATTTTTATTTTTCGAAACTGTTCCTCGGCCATTAAAGCTTCATTCCTTGCTGTCATATATGCCCGAACAAAGAAGTCTAATTCATTTTTGTTTTGCATCAATATACTAGCCTGACGTCGAACCAATTCCACCAATTCATTTCGACTTTCATCCAATTTGTGCATTAATTCCATTTTATGTTTTTCTATATCACTACACGACATTACTAAAAAAATACCATTTATAGGTGACTATAATAAATTCATACAATATACAATGACTTACAAAGAGCATCAGTACAATTTATAAAATTATCAACATTCTCATAATGTGGATTCTCTCGTAAAAATTTCTTTAGTAGTTCTTCATAGCACCCATACTCTCGCACAGTGTTCTTCATCTGTATTGAAAACTCTTTCAAAACTTGAATGTTTTTTCTTGTTGCAGCACTTTTTCTCCTACACTCATTTTGTTCAGTTAATTCATCGTGTAGACTGTTTTCCGCTCTCGTTTCCTTTTCCCGTGATGCTTTCAATATTTTTGTTACCTCAAAGAAACGCTGCCGAAGTCGTTCTTGATCTCTGCGAACTTCCTCCACACGTAAGCAATCAAGCTTTTTCTTCTCTTCATTTAGCTGTAAAACTTCCTTTTGCATAGCCAATGCAATTTCGTATTCTTGAACGCGCTTAGCATAGAGAGACTCAAATGACTCTGTGGTATCATCTTCATTAATAGCTTTTCTAGAAGATAGTTGTCAATAGTAAAACAAATTATTAACTAGTTAAACAGTGATGAAACTTACTTAAAATGTTCTTCATTCTCCTTTGATACAATATATTCTCCAATGGAATTGTATCTTGTTATGGGTCTGCCCAAGTGACCGGTAACACCAAGTTTAGTAGTTGGATGACAACGATACATTTTGTTATGTTATTAACTTTCACAAATTGCTTTTATTGATAATCTTAAGTGTTACGATAAGAACACTTAACTTCCTAAAAAGCAACTAGCTTTCTAAGTTTTGATATATTTTTTTTCAGTTTAGTTTTAATTCACAACTGGGCTTGTCATTTAATTCTGTAAATGCTTTGTTTTTTGAATTTTTGTTTAAAATAATTTCATTTTAAGTTACAAATGACATATACATACTGCGAACTTGCTATCTAAAATATCTTAGTTAGCTATAATACCTCTCTTTAAAGTGCATCTTAAGCTTTGTTAAAGATTCCTGATGACATATAATTAAAAGAAGATAGCACAATAAGCAATTAATTGCATGACACAATCAGATAATTGAGATAAAAGTCGGAAATACATGTACAGCAATTATATAATTTCTAAAAAATTAAAAATATAAATATAAAAGAATAATAAATCAACTACTTTTGTACCATAAATCTAATTTAATAAACCTAAGTGGTCTATTATTAGCTAACCTAACCAATTGAAATAAGCTACAATTTAGCTTCACTCGTATATGCAACTTATAATTCAAATATTTACTATTTACTCACAACATATTTATTATCTAAAGTAAAATATTTCTGACATAATCCAAATTCTTCAAATGGTTTTAAATTGACGATTGAATTGAATTTTAAATTGAATGCTGTACTTAACCAATTCTTTCCATTTTTCGAGTTGATCTGCCTGAATTCAAAAATATGTGAACATAAGGTTTTATCCCATTCAAAATTAATTAATACGAGTATTCAAAATTAATATCAGAACACTGCTATATGGATTCACCATGATTGGTATATCGACCAATAATAAGAATTTATGTCATTTGTGTGTTCTCCAGTATCTACTTTACTGTAGTACAAATACCTTAAGAAACTTCATACTGCTAGAAGCTCTGTTCCAAAAATAGTCTCATAAATCGACTACACTTTCTTAATCTTGCAATGTCACTTATTGCCGTTTTTCATTTTATATAGGAATATTGGAATAGAAACATCCCATGTAACTTACCAAAGTCAAAGCTATTTACGTTCTTTTAAACGAACATGCTCTTTAACCGAACTATGTTATTAGTCATCGTTAAATATGATACCTCGCAGATTTATTTACTTTATAAAACCATTTAATAGATGTATTTCATTACTTCCTTTTTATGAATAACTAATATAGGCAGGTACTTACAACTAATTTAAAAATTAAACTTTTTGCTCTTATTAATAATATTTAAATGAAATACTTTATGAATTTATGAAATAGGAACTCAGTAAGCCAAACTCCTATCTTTGCCCAAAAAGAGAAATACTGCCGAACTACGCCAATCCATTAACAATACAGCAAAGCAAAGAACATATTAGCCACAAAGAGGCAAGTGTGCATATTACAATGAACTTCGACTTATATTATACAGTAGATTAAACATTAAAATCTTTTATTAAATACTTTAGCCCTTAAAAAGGAGTATAAATAATAATAATATATTATAAGTTAAAATCTTTCATTGAATGTGCAAAAAAATCAATTCAATATAAAAAAATATTACCACAAAAAATATGTACTTTTTTAAAAAATATTGCAATTTATTCTTAATAATCAGAAGCATTTCAAGTTTTCTAAATTTATCGCAACGCCTCTGAGGACCTCGAACTCCCCTTTTATAAACATGCTTATTTTATGTACCTCATGATATCGTAGAGTTGGTTCGATCACTATATTAAATAAACCGATATAATATTGTGTATATTAAAAAACTAATAAAAACTTACTCCTCCTCTTACACAAAAGTAAGTATAAGTTGTACAACCCATCATACATGGCATTCCGATCGACCATATGGCGAGAGTGCGTCATTTTTATTTTTCGAAACTGTTCCTCGGCCATTAAAGCTTCATTCCTTGCTGTCATATATGCCCGAACAAAGAAGTCTAATTCATTTTTGTTTTGCATCAATATACTAGCCTGACGTCGGACCAATTCCACCAATTCATTTCGACTTTCATCCAATTTGTGCATTAATTCCATTTTATGTTTTTCTATATCACTACACGACATTACTAAAAAAATACCATTTATAGGTGACTATAATAAATTCATACAATATTCAATGACTTACAAAGAGCATCAGTACAATTTATAAAATTATCAACATTCTCATAATGTGGATTCTCTCGTAAAAATTTCTTTAGTAGTTCTTCATAGCACCCATACTCTCGCACAGTGTTCTTCA